TCAGGCTCACAATTCAACCAATTATTGATTTAGATCAAGTTAGAGTATACGTTATATTCACAATTAATCTAGATTATGTGTTAATTTATAAAAAAATATTTAATTAATTTCACTCACATTTTTGTATTTTTTTTATATAAATCAACTTGAATGATATTTTTTGATTTAATAAAATAATTTTCCTCCACAACTAAAAAAAGTAATATATCATAAATTACTATTTTTATTTAGGAAATGCACATTTTTTCATGTTGATCTCTAGAAAAAAGGGTAAAAATTTTTGTGAAAATATTTAATTAATATTATTATTGAATCAAAACACATAAATAATTGATTAAATGTATTAAATAATTTTATAAATTCCTTTTTTTTTTCTACACATGGATTTACAAAACACTTTTTCTATTTTATTTATGACTGCTTCATGTTTAAAAGTATTAGACGATGTGTTTGATCATTTAAAACTACCATTTTACATCAGTAATTAGAGGAGATATGCATTGCGATTTTGCTAGCACTTGGGCTTCATCTTGCATGAGTGACTATTTTTGTGAAGTTGGTTGAATTGGCACCAAAAGTCTGGCCCTTCTTTAAATAACACTACTAAAATCCTTAGTTTCAGCAACATGGAAGCATGTTGCTGAAAGTCCTTCAGCAACATGAGTTTGCTTGCTAAAAGCTTTGTTGGAGAAGGCTTGGTGGGTAATACATTACCGACCAAAATCATGTTGCTAATATATCAGCAACATAAGCTATATTGCTGAAAAAAAAGTATCAGCAACATAAGCTATATTGCTGAAAAAAAAGTATCAGCAACATAGCTTATGTTGCTGAAAATTTTCACCGGAATCCGGTGACTGGTGGAGGAGAAATTTCTCACCCCCTTCAGCAACATAGGCCACGTTGCTAAAGATGGAGTTTCAGCAACGTGGCTCATGTTGCTAAAAATGAGTGGTAAACCGGTGAAAAAAAATGGAAATCCGGCATTAAAATTCAGCCTCATTTTCAGCAACACAAGTCACTTGTTGCTGATAGTTTTTTGAATTTTCAGCAATATGATTCTTGTTGCTGATAATCTAATGAATAGTTAGCCCATGTACTTTCAGCAATAAGACTCTTGTTGCTGATAATCTAATGAATAGTTAGCATCCTTTCTTTTAGCAAGATGTTTCACGTTGATGATGCTCAAATGCCAATTTTAAGAATTATTTCATTGACAATCAGTAAAGTGCAATGTTATTTTTTAAAAAAAATTATCAATTTTCTATATTAATATTATGAATACACATTTTTCAGTTTCATTAATATTTACAAATAAGACTCTTGTTGCTGATAATCTAATGAATAGTTGGCATCCTTTCTTTTAGCAAGATGTTTCACGTTGGTGATGCTCAAATGCCAAATTTAAGAATTATTTCATTGACAATCAGTATAGTGCTATG